AATGTCACTGTCATGGCCACACTGAGGGCTGATTGCTAAAGCATCTTAATCTTTATTTCACCAATACATGTAACGTGTACAAAAGAAATGGAATTGTTGGCAGTCATATATTGAAGGGTAAAAACAATCTTAGGAATGATCTGCATGAAGGCAAATAAATGTACTACTGATAAAAGTGTCCAGATATTAGAGAACATGTTACAGTATATGTCATGTAGCTGGCATTATTCCTCCTTTACTAAGAGTAGACATGATATTGTACTCTTGATGCTATGCAAAATAAATGAAGTAATATTTACTGTATTTAAAGAAGAGGAACCACTTATTATGCATGTAATGTAACCATTGTATTTGCTCATTCAAATGCTGGAGGATTATGCCATCATGATAATATGATTAAGAGTTTCCTGTTACCCACCCACACATACCTACATCACTACTCATTATAACAGTTATTCATTAATTAATAAATTTATTGTTTAAAGTTTATTAATAGTCAATAGTTATTAATAATCACTACAAGGTATGACAGACTGCAATATTGAAATGACATAATAATAAATCAGCACAATGTAAACACACTTATGTGTGTGGGGGACAGTATTTAATTGTTACGACGAGTTTTCATCTCTGAGAACTTGAGACTAATGGTTGCACCTTTCCAATGACGCCAATAAGTTCCTCGATAATCATCATTTGCAGTATTAAAATAGAGACCATTAAGATGTGAATAAGCGCAGGTATTATACCACCAGGCACCAGTGTAGTGCTGAGCACAGTTAAGACTTTCATGGTTATCATTATCATTATCTCTTGTACTGAATCTCATTCCATTATGATAGGCCAGACTATCCCCAGCAGTACCAGAGTATCCTCCTACTGTTAGTATATATTCAGTACTACCATCACTAACATTAAATGTAGAGTAGTTAGCATAAGCTGTGTTCCCCTCAAAGTCTCCCAGGTCCACTCTTTGTGTGTTTGATCCTTCTTTAGTAAGACGATGAATCTTGCTCAATCCTAACCAAAACTCACCAGTAAGCTCACCAAATCCATTCTCATAGTCAGTCCAGTTCCTATAGAAATCAACAGATCCATCTTGTCTCCTCTGAAATACAGTCCATCCACTACAATCAGTCTTCATATCACAGTATACCTGTGATCCAATAGTGTATAATTATAAATTACTTTTAACTAACTTCAAA